GTCTTTTGCACTCACTTAAACGAACGTAGGCGCCAAACCGAACACGGGAGGCCCGGGACCCCAAATAGCAACCTGTCTGGGCACCAGAGGACGCCCGGATTCGCTTCACTTAAAGACTATAGTAACCTTTCGTATCCATACTCTATCGTACTGTTTAAAGCGAAATTATGCACCATACCGCTCACAGGATAGCCCAGAGCGCCAAATTGAACCCTGGTGGGGCGCCGGCGGACTCGCCTGTTTCAATTTAATGAACTATTATAATACTCCGAGCTTAATCGTAAAACACCTACAACATTTGCACGTGATCAATCCCCGCTAATTATGTAATTATTTTTTTCCCAACACCAAAACAAAGTAATAAAATGTAAATTCTTTTCCACTAATGCAATGTTTTATAAAGGGAAGTAATTGTGTTTTCCTAATTTATCAAAGGGAAGTAAGTGCTAAAGGACTAAATATAAATATAATTTTCAGACATAATTAGAATTTTTATAAAAGATGATATTTTTTTTAAAGTTGTGTTTAATGAACATGCCGAAAATTATTACTATCAGTTTAAAAAAATGAAAATTATGTCCCAACCCTTTTAATAGTAATTTTTTAACTTATAAATTTAGACTATGAGCACGGTTATAATCTAACACTTAAATCCATCAAAGTATGTCCACGACAAACAAACTTATCACATGTAGCTGTATGCTGTATGAATTGAGCTTTATATATTAGATAACATACTATACTTGGCATAATGTGTAACAATAAATTCATAAAATCATGTTTGTTTTAACCTTTGTATAATTGATGACCCGTCTGACATCTCTTCCATAAATTGTGGGTGTGGCTTCTAGCTTTGCTACTATAATAATTCCCTTGATTTATTTTAACTTGTATTACTATTAGGTTTTCTTGACCATTATCTTCCTTCTCTTTGGGTATCTGTATTATTTCTTGGTCATCTAGCTTAGTATTTTCTCACTATGTGTTCTTTTGCTTGGTTTATCAACCAACTTTATACAAATATTATGGCATTGCCTTGACCTCTCATATTTTTTTAATTAGATATCTGTCATCTAGGTCTCTGTTGGACTAATAAGATACGTTCTTTCTTAAATTATGGTTATTGCTGTATTTTGATATTATATGTAGTTTCTTGTACATGACTATTTCTGTTTGATCTGCCAATCTACACTAGCAGTGATCTTGGGAGTGACCTGTGTTTCCGATGTAAATCATCAATTAGATTTTTTTTTATATAATTATTGTTACTGTATCCACAGCTTAATATACTTCTTCTACTTTCAGTTTGTGCTTTAATTACAGGTACCTTCTAGTTTTTGACTCATATTTCTTGACTAACTTGTGATTCATTATTAATTCCAATTCATTCAAAAAAAAAAAATTCTCCAATTCTCTGTTAAATTTACTCTTAATGTCCAGTATATCTTCTTTATGGTTTGACTCCAACTTTCTTAATAGTTCTACTATAGGTACGTTATCTCCGGTGTTGCTTATTTCGTTTACCAACTTGTTCATCATCATTGGTTTGCTATCATCCGATAGTATTATTTTATGGTGATTGCTGCCATTTTCCGATAAACTTATTGAATCACCTTGACTACCATTCTCCCAGGGGCTTAACACCTAGACTGCCGCTCTGTGATGAACTTAAGTAAACACTAACACTGCCTGTTGTAATTTCAGATCTATTTAACTCTATTTCTAGCTTATGCTTTGCTTTATCTGCTTCTCTTTGAAGCCGTATTTTCTCATTTACTGCTTTAGCAGTCTTTCATCTCCTTTTTTCTTGCTTTTAAATGCTTCTTTTTATCAATTTCTATCTTCTAACCCTTTAGCCATTTCCTTGTCATCTACTTCCTTTTTAGCCTTCTCTTCTTCGTTTCTAGCCTTTTCTACTTTATTTCTAGCCTTTTCTTCTTCTTTTCTAGCCTTCTCTTCTTTTTTTTCTAGTATCGTTTTCAGCTTTCTTTTGTTTTGCAAATGCCAACCTGTCTTCCTTTTTAATGTCTAGCTCATTCGCTAGTTCTATATATTTTGCCATTTTAGAACGTTTATTTCCGGTGAAAGTTTAAGCTCAAAATGTTAAAAAAATATATACTTCGGTAATAAAGCGTATCTACAAGCTCTTGTCTAACTTGCTTCCTGTCGACAGTTTGTTTACCGACACGCATCATGGATCGAAACTGGGGTGCGAAAAGTTGGCACGTTGATCAAGACATGAAGACAATGCAATCTAACATTAAATTTGACTTAGTTGGATGCCAAGAATTTTTTTTTAAAATAATGAAAATTTTGCCTAAATTATTTGGCAGCCGTAACCAACTATTCCATCTTATTATACACGAGTTATCATGTTCATTAGGTGCGCAAAAGTTTATAGGCATGCAATTTTTTTTGTAAACAAAAAAGGTTAGAGTGCTGAAAATAAACCGGGAGTGATCTCTCCTCCTTAATATTGCGAATATTCTTTTATAACACTACGGGGAAGGCAACTCGGGATATAGAAATAATTTTTAATCATTTTTTAATTGCTAAAACTATTTAAAATACAATAGAATCTCGTAGAAACGAAAATTGGGCACCTAGTTAATGGCAAAAAATATGTGCATGATAGTGCGGAATGTTATCAGTACTTTATAAATATATATGCTTTTTTGTTAAATCGGAAACTTTGTAAATTACTACTTCCGGTAGAAAGGAAATTACTCTAAAGTTGACGGGAAGCAGAAAAAGTGGTCTTTTACTTTTATGTAAGATTTTATTTTTCTATCTGAAACCGTTCTCAAGTTATAGGCTTTTGAAAAACTAAAAGTACAATAAGTCCCACTTCCGGCTATCGGAAATCGCTCAAAAGTTAATACAGAACTGCAAGTTTGATATAATAATACTTATATAAAAGTTAAATAACCTAGCTGTAACCTATTCAAATAAACCCATTCACGCTTTTTTACAGACATAAATTCCCCCATACACACACTGACAGAATTGCAAAGTCCAGTTTTTCCGAACATGATTACGTGTGAACCACCGACATTTTAATAAATCTTTATTTAGAACGTTTGTCCGATGAAAATAAGTCCCCTACACTCCGTATTTGATGAAGCCCTAAGAAGTAAAAACAGGAAAACTGTAAAAATTACACGTGTTTTTTGTGCACGATTACAATACTTTCTCTATTCTAATATATAAACGCCCATGTGCGCACTTCTCTTTCTCTCTCTCTCTCTCTCTCTCTCTCTCTCTCTCTCTCTCTCTCTCTCTCTCTGTCCGCAAACTATTTACGCAGGATATCACAATCTTCAGCGATATATGGAGAACTTGATACGGACTTTTGTTGAAAATAATATGGAAGATGTTTTAAATGTATAAACACAATTTTATTTAAAGAAAGAAAATAAAAATAAAGACATATTCGAATGTAGAAACACACTTTTAATTATGCAACCGGAAAAGTGTTTATAATTGGGACAAGAACGCAGAAATCGCTGACGTCACATGTCATAAAATTGAAATAAAGTACACAAAACCAATGGCGTCATCATCCATTTTTAGAATATAAAGAAGTGAACTATTTCATTAAAATTTAATTTAGATCTATAGTTTTATTTATCGAGACGTAATTTATGAATTTTATACAATTTCCTCGGCCAAAACTTATAAAATTTCTTTAAAAAGCAACATAAATACTATTGAAAAGCCGGTTTTTTAACTGAGTTATTTAAGCCTTTTAATCAATGCGTCCATTTAATACGGTGTTGTGTTGATAAATTATGTATATAATTTGGTCTTATTTTTTTCTAATAGGTATTAGTAGCCTGTGTTATTTTAAATGTGTCGGGCTTATAGCTATTTAGTTATCTCTTTGCTTTGTCACTAATATCCTAAAACCTTTTAGTAAAGAACATTGCTTTTTGAACAATAACTATTTTATAAAATATTTTTCCAAAAAATGTATACCATTAAAAATATATAGACCGATAATTCACGTGTAACGGGTACCAACGGCTAGTCCTAATATATATAAGCCCATTCGCGCACTTCTCTCTCTCTCTCTCTCTCTCTCTCTGTCCGCAAAATATTTTCACAGGATATCAAATCTGACTCTTCATCAATATATAGAGAACTTGATATGGTATTTTGTTGAAAATAATATGCTGGGTGCTTTAAATGTACAAACTATATTTTATTTAAAGAAAGAAAATAAAAATAAAAGCATTTTAATTATGCTACCGCAAAAGTGTTTATTATTCTGATAAGAACGCAGAAAAAAATGAATTCAAATTTCACGGGGTTAAAATACGGAAAGTGCACAAAACTAATGGCGTGATCTTCTAATTTTAGAATATGAAGAAATTACCTATTTTAAGCAAATTTGACTTACATCTACTTATCAAGGCGTACGCTATAAAATGTAAATAGTTTTCTCTGCCAAAAGTAATACAAACTACTTGAAAAGATAACACAAATACCAATGAACAGCCGGGATTTTTTACGGAATCATTTATGTGTCTTAATCTGTGTGTGTGTGTGTGTGTTTTTAATACGATGCAGTGCTGAATAATAATTTATTTAAATTTTGTTTTTCTAAAAAAGTAATGGTAGCCTATGTTATTTTAAATGTGTCTGATTTTTAGCAATATAACTTTTCTTTGCTTTGTCACTAATATGTTATAATGCACTAAAAAGTAGAGAAAAAATGTAATTCATGAAATATATAATGATACAATAATATTTAAAATCATATAAATAAAAGTGTGGGTCCCTTCCTAAATATAAGTAAAGGTATCAATTCGAAATTATAGTGACCAACGCATTTGTTTATGTTAATTTAAAAGATAGTGGATTATTATATATTTCAAGAAGATATTCTATTTTTTTAAAATGCATTATTAAATAAAATATTGTTATTAAAACGCTTTTTATGAATTTAAAAAACAAACGTGTTGCTTTTATTATGAACAAACTTTCTCATTAAATAGATAGACACATCGTGGCCTAACTCATGATGAGCAATTTGATCTTACTGTTGCTGCTGTTATGCACAGTTTCTTTCGTGGAATGTAACTTAACAGAAACCTTTGGCAAAAGATGGTATGTTTTTGTTATCCACATATTTTAGTTTCTTTTATTACCTGGTTGTTTAGAGTTAAGATTAGAACCAGCAAATGTTATGGTAAATTTTAAAATGTTTTGGTAATAGTGGTATTGAGCAAAAGTACAAGGCCCATCAAGTAAACAAGCGGAACACAGCTAATTTTATACATAATCTCTATTAATTTTAAAAATCCGTTTATCCTAGGAATAACAGTTACTTTTAGAGTATATTACCAATAAAAATATAATATTAAAGATGCATAAAAAGATGTATTGAGAACCTCTAAGCTTTCACATCAATTCGAATAATATTGCATGACCTTTTGATAGCATTTTAGTGTAGTCGACTCTTAGAAATTATATGTAATGTTGTGACCGCCAGTTATCGCTTCATATGCTGAGGTCTCTGATGCAGATGAGCCCTACTTCATCTGCCCCATGTGTCTTGGGCTCGAACGGGAATGATGACTCAATTTATACATGCATTTAACATCTTAAACCTTACCTAAACCAGACTTACACATGTATCTTCATTATAATGTAGCAATCTGTCTATATAATTGTCTTCATGGCGACCATGCGAAACACCATCAAGACGTAAGCTAAACAGACCATATCGCTACCACCCCCACCCCCATCAGTCTGGTGAGCTGTTTACTATTGGGTCGAATTAGTGACGGCTATTAGGGGCAGATAATTTAGTTTTTAAAATATGTGTAACTAAGGTGAGGTAATAACACCTTCTGTTTAATCTTTTCAATGTCGTTCGCGAATTGTCGTCACGGATGGCTGCTTTCACGGGGGAGGGAGAGGAATGGAAAGTGAGGGTTCTTCACGAGCTACTGATAGTGTTTTAAAGCAAAATATTTTTAGTCGAAGCATTGTTAGCGTCGAATTCACAAAATATGAAAAATAGGAAATAGAACAACTAAATAGAGCCGTATGCTACGTCGCGGGTCAACTCGCATATATAATTCTCATGGGCACCATGCGGGAAACCAACAAGATGTAAGCTCAACAATATATATATATAATTCTCTTCAAGGGGACCTTGCTGGGCACCAAAAGACGTAAGCGCCGCCTAGCAGCCCCCTCTCTTCCTCTCTAGGCATATCGCTACCACCCCCACCCCCACCGGTCTGTTGACCATTTTTTTTTTACAATCGTGGATTAGGGTCTAATTAGTCACGGCCATTAGGGGCAGATAATTTAGTTTGAAACTATTTTAAACTTAAGGGAGGTAACTAAGAGGAGACTTCTTTCACGGGGAACCGGGTAGAAGTCGGGTGAATGGAGGAGGGGGTTATCGTCCCTAACGGGCTACTGATAGTGTTTTAAAGCAAAAATTTTCAGTGGCAGCATTCGCAAAAAATGAATTACTGAAATGTAGAATATATAACAACTAAATAGCGGCGAATGTTACGCCGCGAGTCGGCTCGTAAATTGCATACTAGCAGAGCGCCCGCATTCCATGCTGGTGACGGTAGCACTAAACAAAAACCGTGATTAGCTTAATCGTAATCATAGTCATAATATACTATTATACAAGGCTAGTGGTAGTGTGTCAGTCCTTCCTTCCGTCATTCCATCATTCCGTCATCGCTATAGAACCAGAACCTTAAAAGAAAACATCAACATATGCCTTGACTTTACTTTCATCGCATTCTTATACAATTACTTAAGTAGGGTATATTTACATAACGAATTACATTTTTTTCATGTCGGCAGCTTTTATTCTTTATTGCATTAGTCAAGAAACGAACTTAAATAAAATATTAAATACACTCACATTTAAAACATATTAAAAGGATCAATATCAAATAATATTTTGCTTATATACCTATGGTTGAATAAAAGTAATCAATTCAAATGTTTAATAAAATATATAATACTTATGACAGGGGAGGTAATTGAATTTTTTTAAACTCACGCCAAATATTGATATTTAAGTAAAAAAATGTGAATGCATATTGCGCTGACGTCAATTAGGGCATTATTGTTGAAATACAATAATTAGCGTGGATTGAATAAAGTGCAATGAGGTTGGTAAAACACGGATATTTAAACTGCCTTTAAAATATTCCTATATACACTGATTATTATTTTTAATCAATAACAGTTTACACGCTGCTCCTAAATGTCCACTGTTTACTTCTATCTTTCGGTTTGCGGACAGGCTAGGGGTATTATAGTCGTCTACTAAATAGAATCCGGCGCTTCAACCGGATCCCCGGCAGGGTGCTATTCGACGCCCAGGGCTACACTGTGAGCACTATGCTTTTATGTTTGCATTAAAGTTTGTGTTTATGTGATGCGTTATTGTTTGTTTTTAGGGCTGTGATAGGGTTTATGTTTGCGTTTTTTTGTTTCCGTTTGCGTTTGCATTAGTGTTTGCATTTGTGTTTACGTTTGTGTGGGCGACTGTGTTTTCTTTTGTGTTTAAGTTTGGTTTTGCGTTGTGTTTGCGATTCTTTTTTTTTTGTTCGTCGTTGTGTTTGCGTGTTGAGTCTGCGTTAGCGTTTGTGTTTGTGCATTACTTTGTGTTTTTTTTGCGTTTGTGTTTGCATTGTGTTTGTGTGTGCTTGTTTTAGTTTTGAGTTTGTGTTGTGTTTATTTTTTCGGTTGTGTTTGTGTCCTATCCCCACATAGGTACATGTAAATTCAATTCATTTTTTCTAGGCATATAAGCAAATGTATTGTTTTACATTGATCAGTTTAATATGTTTTAGCAATGTGCATGTATTTAATATTTCTTCACGTTCTTTAGCTTAGGTATGCAAAAGAGTAAACATTTGACGACAATTAAAAAATAAAAGTCGTTATATAAACAAACCCTAGTCCAATACTTATAATTAGAAAATGAGTTACGTAAAATCACGGCATGTGTTAATGTTTACTTTTATGGTTCTAGAATCTTTAGCGATGAAGGAATAACGGATGGAAGGAAGGACTAAAACATGTCAACCAGCTTTTTATTATAGATAACAATATAAGTTGTCTTCGTAAATAAAATGGTTTTTTTATAGGTGCGCCCGATACTTTAAAAAATGTTTTCCCACTAAACCATGCTGTTGGGACATTTATGTGTGCAGGTAAAAATTTGTCCTTAAATGACGTCATTATCATACTGGGGATAGGGGGTCCGTGAAAATCGTCAATTAAAGCATGCCGCGTAAAAAAATGTCATTTTAGTACACATGTGTGTAAAGATACAGATAAACAATGTATTTATGTTTGAGTTCGGGTGTTTGTGTTTTATGGTTCGTGTAATATTTGAATACACCTATTTGTCCAAAGTATGTGTTAGAGAGCGTCACTGTGAATATCAAAAATTGTTAATAATGCAACTGGGCATTTCTCATGACCATTGCAAAGTATATATATATATATATATATATATATATACTAGGCATACTGCCTAGGTTCGCATAGGTTTTCAAAAAAATTGAGACATTGAATGATTAATACATAGGTGAGTAGCTGTTATATTAAATGCATAGGGCCTAAATTTAAACATTGGAGTGATTTCATGTCATTCAAACAATGATTGAATATTCGCATATTTATTACTCGCAATGTTATTAGAAATGCGAGGGCTTTCTTAATAGTATAAATCAAATATTTTATTAAATTTCTTTCGCAATTACAAAACAAAACTTAATTTATAATAAAAAATCTATTTAAAAAATGTTATAATTTTTTATTTTTGTTTTTCTTAGAAATAGTAAACAAAATATTTTAAAATTATTACATTAAAAAGCTACCTCCACTGTTCGTAGACCAAATGACATACTCTTTAATTACTTTTTCACAAACGTGTGGACAAATCTAATGATTCTAAGGTTTTTTATATAAATGTATGTATACATATATATATATAAATATATATATATATATATATATATATATATATATATATATATATATATATATATATATATATATATATATATATATATATATATATATATTATATATATATATATATATATATATATATATATATATATATATATATATATATATATATATATATATATATTTATATATATTTATATATATATATTTATATATATTTATATATATTTATATATATATATATATATATATATATATATATATATATAGAGAGAGAGAGAGAGAGAGAGAGAGAGAGAGAGAGAGAGAGATAGATATATATATATATTTAGATAGACATATATACCATTTCTAGATGTTTTTAACAATTTTTTATTTTTTTCTGTGTAATAGGACCAAACCATGTGGAACAACATTTAGGTGTATGAGACCAGGGAATGGCAACGCATGACGTCATTTTTGGATGACCCAGGAGTCCTTGTCAAAAGAAACAACTAATGGATAATTTTGTTAATTAATTCATCTAATAAAAATCGAAAAGAAAATTTTTTTTTGTATGTTTATTTGCGATAATTAGGCGATATGTGATTATCAAATCATCATCATCATCTTCTTTTTGCCCTTATTATGGTTGTTGGGGGCACCACAGTGGACACATAAATTCTCCGCCATCCACTTCAGTCGTCTGACGCTCATTTTCTTTCTGTGAGAAGACTAGTCTGTTCCTTTGTGTCATATATAAATATTCGTCTTTGCTTTCCCCTTATTTTCTCTCTCGGCACAGAGCCTTACAACATTGCCATTTACAAATCAGAAGCCATACCATTCAGGATGTTGGTCATTATCAATGTCTACTCCATGTCTTCACGGTTGCAATGGCATCTATATCATCAGCGAATTGTGTGAATTGGTGATGGTTCGTCTTCGGTTACTGACTTAGCTGATATGGTTTTCCAAGGCGGCCGTCTTTGAAACGTTTACCTGCTTAAAAATAACTTCTATGCATACAATTTTAAAAAGAAACGTTGTCTATTTGGAAAACAAACGTCATTTATCAGAATAATTGTATTCCTTTTAAGATTAAAGAAGAAAAAGAAATTCAAGCTACAATTGTCAAATAATTTTAACAAATAATTTACTAGGTTTCATAAAATAAAAAGAATAACACAAATATTTCATATGTGTCAAAGAAATAATTTTTTTTTCATTTCACAATAATAAAATATATTATTTTTCTCAAAATAAGCAAAGTAATGAAATTTAGAAACATTTTTACTTCATTATAATCTAAGTAATAATGATGGCTTAAAAAATACGTCTTATTATTTAAAAAAAATTAAATCAAATAAACGTTGAAGATTGAAGCACAACGCGAAATTTACATACTCCATTTTAATACATTAGTGATCAGTTGATGAATCAGTATGATTAGAAAAATTATTTAAAATGTTGTCTCTCTTCAACACAATTTTTTTTCTTTTATTGTTATCAATACTAGTATTGAAACAACGGGTGAAATTTACAATCTTTACACATGTACTTCTGAACTGCTAACCCGTAAGTCTTGAGTTCGAATCCGGGTTCAAGTCAGTAGACCGTCCCTGAGGCCACCCAGCTCTGATTGGTACCTAACCCACGTTAGGGAGAGTAAAGGCGGCTGTACCTTTGTCTACCATTAGCGTTGAAATATCACTTTCTGTTTATATTGCTATTTCAGTTACATCTCTTGCTTCCACCCCCTCTACATAACAATAGACACAAACTTAAAGTAAAAAGTGATTTATCTAAACACAGACAACGTTCTTATAGAATAATATTTACAATTTTATAACTTTAATGTAATAAGTTTATTTTTGAAATATTAACATTATTTATTACATTTTTTAAAATTTCAATCTATAATTATTTTATATACCACATTTTTATAAATATACAATCTTATAATTAGTGATGGGTAACTAACTTACGTTAGGGAAACAAAGGCGGCTCGGCATAGTGTTGACTACACTTACCCTTCATATTTCGAAGTCTCTGAAGCAAGTGATGATGACATTAGCATTGAAATCGTTTACTTAATTTAAGGCATCAAGTGAAACCGAAGGATTTAACAGATGTGAATGAATTTAAATATAACAAAAAAGGATACTAAAAAAGGGGTAATAAATATAATTTCTATACTTTAACTACTATTGTGTTTACGCATGGCTATCAGCTCTAATGATTGAGATCTACAAGCGGCAGAATTCTACTAAGACCAACGGACAATACACTCTAAGTTTCACAAATGGCGACATAACCCGAATAGAAGAAACCCTGAGCTGGGTGCTTCCTTCTTTATGCAAGAGACTCTAATACAGCTCTGCCCCAAAAAAATATTCATCATTAGTATCCACCACACCAACAACCGAAGTATTACCGTTTACACAGCAAGTAAAAAGCCACACCACACCATATCACCTTAACCTAACAAGAAAAAATACATCACCAGCAAAGTTCAATGACATTAGAAGCCACCACTCCGTCCAAATCACATAGTGAAGACCTGAATCGCCACAAACTTTTCCTAATCTGCTTTGCTTTTATTCTTCGGACCACTGTCAATACATTTGGTTAACGAAGAGCACATGGACGCCCTAAATTGTTAGATTTACAATCAAGACAAACATGTTGGAACATTCCGAAACATAACACCAAAGAGCACTTACCTATTAGTGTTTATATTGTGAGGTTCCAGACTGCTTCTTTACAACAAACAAACATCTAAAAACACACCCTTAAAGTTGGCAACCAGAAATTGACACAGCCCACAATGAACTCTATTATTAACAAGACTCAAACAACGAAGTAACATACATCTACTGTGACGAAGCGGACAAATTCATTCAATAATGCAATGCAGCTACAATGTTTCCAATGACAACCTATCAACTCAACAAGAACTTAGACTTAAACCTTTTGTATGAAATCCAATACATTTTTATCTCTTAACGGAATGGTCGGGAGTACTTTTCTTTATAAATCGAACAATTCATTGATTTCCCAATTTTACTTGATCTATTCGGAATAACCAACGTTGAATCTAAATAGACATTGCTATGACCCTAAAAGCCATATTTATTTATGAAAAACCGTCTTTAAAGTACATTGTACAGAGTCATTTGTTTACTTTTGTGGTAAAAATAGCCACTTTTTTTTACCTAGAGAAAATAATATTAGGCTTCCCGACACAAAGTAATATTTCAGCGTTGTTCTCATAGGCTGGGACATCCATAGCTCCCCTATACACCCTTTAAACTGGCCCACCAGGTCGTTCAATAAAACACAACACCTGGTTAACGTTAAATCTTAAGAGCTTTATTGATCCTTAAGCTGGCCGGCCTAGTCCTAACAAAGTATCATTTTATAAACTGTGTATCAATACAAGTCTTAAATCTCAGTGTAAATAAATCTCCCCTTACAAATCTCAAGGTCTAAGGGTCAGGTAAAGTAGACTCACGTGTTTCTTTGACCTCGACGTATGAAGGGATAGTGTGGTCAGCACTATGCCCAGCCGCCTTTACTTTCCATCAGAGGCGTAGCTATCCTTCCCGGCGCCCGGGGACATACTTCCAAGTTGGCGCCCCCTCGAGAGCAAATCTTCGATTTGCACCCCCCCCCCCTCGAACTTTTCATTTGCACACCCACCTCAAACTTTCGATTTGCCCCCCCCCCTCGAACTTTTCATTTGCACCCCCTTCAAACTTTCAATTTGGCGCCCCCCCCTAAGGTCGGCGCCCGGGGACATATGTCCCTCCCCCGCCCCCCCCCCTCGATACGCTACTGCTTTCCATAACGTGAGTTAGGTAATCTTACATGTTAGCAATAGCTCTCTACCGCTAGGTCATTCCGTCACTAAATCTTGGTGTAACCGTACTAAACACATAAACTAGAGTTAGGTACCTGTAGTTGCGAGGTGTGGTTAACATCATTGAGGGAGTGCCCTCCCATTTCTATCGTTGTTAGATGCGAACTACCGACCCCTATACGGCTAGATAAATGTGCGTAATCATCAATGTTCACAAAACTTTGCTCATGTCTATTCTCAAAGAGCCTTTAAAAAATTAAAATTTAAGGCAACACATATTTCAGCAATTGTATAAGTGTATTATTAGGTGTTATTATATCAATGTTATTGTAGTATGACGTATTTTAATCAAGAAAATTACTTGGCTTTTTATGGATTAATCGTTTGCTGCCATTGTTGCCGGTAAGAGATACACACACATATGTCTGAAGCTATATTGGATATTTTTGTTGTTTTATTTAACTGAAATCTTCGTGTTGTCTGTCCCTAGTTTTTGTTTCTAAGTGTCAGCCGTTTTTGGGATGTCTGTCTACATATGTATCTAGCTACCAGTTTTTTTTTTCGTTTATTATTTCTCTGCTTTGGATATTACTTTATTGGCTAGAACAGCTTTAAATTTATACAGTTTCAAGGTTTCTACAGATAATTATATATATATATATATATATATATATATATATATATATATTTATGTACGTATATATCAATATAGAGAAAATGAACGTTGTAGTCTTGGTTTTGTATGAGATTCTTAAGTCTTGAATCTGCAGCGTGGGAGAACGGTTTGATTGTTGAGACTTACATCTGTAGAACGTCTGTACACTTATAACTGTTTCCTCAGATTATCCCGTTCATATCAAAGACACATATAAAGGGATAGTGTGTTCAGCACTATGCCCAGCTGCTTTCGTTTCCCTAACGTTGGTTAGGTACCAATCAGAGACGTTCGACTGATTTGAACTCGGATTCGAGCTTGAGCATGGGTCTTTTCCTAAATATTAGTAAAGGTATCCAATAGATACTAAAGTGACCCACGTTTTTCTTTATAGTAATTTAAATAGTAGTGTCTAATATTAGGAAGAGAACACGCTTTCCTTTGCAGTTATTTAAACAGTAGTTTATAATTTATTTTCTACTTTTTAGTGCATTGTTACATAAAAGCTTGTTATTAAAACGGTTTTTTTATGAATTTTTTTTCAAATACGATTAAATTTCTTATTTCCACAACGTAAATTTTCATGTCGCAAATATTGTCGTTAGACGTATTGTATTTTTCACTTGTGATCAAACACCCGTTGATAGACCACCTGTGATCAAAGACCCTCTGCTTAGAAAACATCTGTGGTCAAACCCCCTATGGTCAAACCCCCCTATGAACAAACCCGCTATGGTCAAAGCACCGCTATGGTCAAAGCCCCGCTGTGGTCAAACCCCCTATGGTCAAAGCACCTGTGGTCAAAGGTACTAGGACCATAAAACAACAGGGGATGGGAACTCCATTTTAAATACTTAAAGTTTTTAAAATAGAATAAAATCTCGTAGAAAAAAGATTTGCACACCAGGTGAACGCCAAATGAAATGTGCATAATAGTGCGCAATAATATTAGTACTTTATAAATTTACATTCGTTTTTTTGAGAAAAAAAAAGCGTAAATTAGTACTTCCGGTCAAACGAAAATTACTCAAAATTTGACAGAATGTAGAGGATTAGATCTTTTCCTTACATATGAAATTTCATTTATCTATCTGAAATAGTACTTAAGTAAGTTATAGGCTTTTGAAAAGTAGAAAAAGTACCACTTCCGGTTATCGGAAATCGCTCAAAAGCTCAAACTGATCTACTATTTTAATAAAATACTTATATATGAAATTTACTCACCCTAGCTGTAACGGTACTCAAGTTATCGTGTTTACACACACACACACAGACACACAGACAGACACACAGACATACGGAGAAGAGTGCAAAATTATGTTTTTCCATATCAGTGAGGTGTAAAACGTCGAGATTTGTAAAAATCTCGATTTTTTTTGCACGATTACATGACTTTCTCTATACTTCGTATATACGAGAAAGTAAAAAGGAAATGTATTTAAAACTAATGACATAAATAAAAAAACAACTTACAAATAAAGATAACGCAAGAAACCATTACACATACAAAGCTTTAATGTTTCATATTCTTTTGATCGACTCTCGTATAGGAGGCATTATGGAAAACATGTTGTACCAGAGATTTTCAAAACATACTAATGGACCTCACACAAATGACATGTTGTTGTAACTTGTTTTAATTTTTTTTTAAACTAAGAATTTTATATATATATATATATATATATATATATATATATATATATATATATATATATATATATATATATATATATATATATATATGGGGCCAAAAAAAATTTCTTTGCGGGGGGGGGGGGGGCTTTTTTCTAGTTCCGTCACTGGTTTTATAGAAATATTTTTATTGACAGCATTGGTACTGTCGAATTCACAAATTATGAATTACTGAAAAGTAAAAAAAAAACTAAATAGCGGCGTGTGATACGCCGTGGGTCGGCTCGTATTTTATAAATGGCCTGATTAAACATTGTTAAAACACTTACGCTAATTAATAAAAACATGCATGTGAATATCTTTAAAAAGTTTAGATCTATTACTATATATTCTTAAACATGTTTAAGCATACCGCCACTCCCCCATCCCCTCACTTGATCCTTACGAAGTACGAACATCCAAGGTCGCTCTCTTGTCAAGTTTGTGGACCAGAACTAAGAAAGGTTGTCACGGAAAAAGCTGTCCCAGTTAAGTTGTGAAGTCCAATAATTAAGATCCTGTATTTGAGTCCCATATAAAATAATTAAGGCTTGAAATAGATTCTAGATGTAGAATTTACATTAAGTCTAGGTCTAGAATTTACGTTAAGTCTAGTGACTTAGATCTAGATCTAGAGATCTAGATTCATAACTTTTTCTTCCTTCAACAGCTGATCTGTAGATCTAGAGAAATTTATTGTAAAACTAAATGACAAAGACAGTTAAAAATAGATATAAGTGTTGGAACGTAATAAATACAGCAAACGGACGTATTGTTAAAGTTATAGTCGACAAAATTTAGCTTTAGAACGCTTTAAACATTGGTATGGGAAAACAGATTTCTTCGATAGAAGCCGCCATTGTTGATGTAAAATGTAAACAAATCATGTGACGTCACTATTCCGTCAAAGTTAAGCGATCGTTTGAAACTTCTAAAATTAATGTGGTTAATCTATCAATGAATAAATCAATAAATTAATTAACGTCTTTAAATAAATTTGTGATTAACAGTCTGTCTGAAAACAAAAATCGTTCTCTACCTACATACTATTTTACAGCTCTCCACATAGTGCAGATTCTCTCCAGTAGCAAATTAGACAAACAAAAAAAAAATTTCAAACATGTAAGCAAACTTGAATTTTAGTATTATAAAGATGGCACCCGGATAAACTGTGTCTAATCGCAATCGTCTTTTATTTTTATATACCGTATATAGAGAAAAATCCCACTATCCCGTGGCGCCGCCCTTGCGATATTATGAAAAAAAGATTTTTACAGAAATCTCACCTGAAGTGTTCTAATTAACTCCCCAAAGTTTGATGAACGATGTTAAAATGCAATCGACTTTTAATTTTATATACAGTATGTAGAGAAAAATCGGACCCTCCTGTGGCAGCGCCCTTGCGAAATTTAAATTATTTTTCTACAGAACCCTTCCCTGTAGTGTTCTAATCAAATCCCCAAAGTCTCATGGCTATCGAATGAACGCTGTCCAACCAAAATCGCTTTTTTATATACCGCATATAGAGAAAAATGAAATCGCGCCCTGCTGGGGAGCCGCCCCTTCGAATAGGAATTTTATTTTCGCAAAAACCTCCTCAGGAATATTCTCAACAACTTCCCAAAGTTTCATGGCGATGTAATGAAAGGTTTAGTAATGCATAAAAGACATACAAACAAACAAACACAAACATACATTTCTTCATATATATATATATATATATATATATATATATATATATATGTATCTGGCGACACAACTGATTGTTCTGGGTATGATCCGCGTTCATTTAGTAAAAAACCAAAGTAAAAAAAAACAACCATAAAAACATATGTCAATGCCAGAATCAGATGTTTATTTTTTCTTAAAGATTCTTTCATTCATTTTCTTTTCTACAAGGGAAAAAAATAACAGAGTAAATAATACCATTACAGTTATATGTATATAATCACAAATATTAAAATTCTAAACATAAAGACTGTTTATATTTTTTCTTTTTTGTTTAATTTAACTTACCCAACAAGCAAACACGTTAATACGCACACTCAAATGTGTATATCATAAATCATCGATTGTTTTTTTTTAAAATTCAGTATTTTGAAAGCGTTCCTGTGTGTTATACTTTGATCTGCGCAATCAGTTTTATAATTGGAAACTTTAAAGTCTTGCTGAGTAAAATTTTGTATGCAACGTTAATGTGTAAAGCATTGCTATTTTATCATTTATCTAAACATTTTATGAACAATAGAAGATTAGGATACTTTGTTGCTGAATGTATTGATTGAGATGTTGTGATTTTCGATGGAGATGTGACGCAAACAATGTTAATAGTGAAAGTGTCGGTTAGTATTGAAAAAATGGAGTATGTGTTATAATTAGAAGACAGACATGGCGAAGATATTTTTTTTTAAAAAAGTATGTTTATGTTAAAAAATGTATTATAAACTTAAAGAAACAACCTTAAACTACGCATTATTTTTCAGGTCTCTATAACTTACTACTTTGCAGGCCAACATATTTTTTCTCCACCATCTCCTTTATCTTTTCTATATAAAGAAAGAAAAGAAAACTAATATGAAACAATAATGGATGGAGGTTTTTATTAAATATTTTTGGATAACAACAATTACTATAATCATACTATTTGTATCCTAAAGCTATTACATACTAGCAATATTAAAGTCTATAAATTGAATACCACTTCAGCCTGATAGTGGACATTTCATAAATAAGTATTAGATTAAAATCGGAGATGTCTTTAAACTTTTGAATTATTTCTTGTTCGTGAACTTTGTCTTTTGCACTATTTTCATGCTAGGGAGACAAAACTCATACAGCCTATGTACAACTTACAAAACCAAGATTGTACAACAAATCTTTCTTAAACGTTTTGAATAACCTGTACTGCATTACTGGTGTGGTGTCAGGCGTTGTTCTAGTATGGAAATAACTACTTTGTTATTTAAACGTTTTGCCATTGTACACCGAGCTTATTCTCGAGTTTAGCATAATGAATTAATCGAAAATTGGACAATAAAACATGCTTCAAAAAATTCGTTTTGAAGGCAATTTTAAATTAAATCTCAGTAACAATAAACCTTACGGACATTAAAGCTCCTTTGAAAAAATTATTTAAAAATTTAAGGAAAATCCGACTCATAATTTTAATGACTGAAAAAAATATTTAATACCTTCTATTAACCACACAATCATTATCTTCACAGCACCACTTCTTACTTACACAGTCTTCACCAGTCCTTTTACAACAACTGTTTGATAGGGAATAAAACGAAGCTAAATCTACAAATTCATATATCTCTATATCCATATCCACATCCTTTCCAATTTCCAAATCCATTCTTCTATCCATCAATCCATCCAACCTCCAACCCTAAACCCACCCACCCAACCTTTCATCCACCGATCCAACTATTAAACTTTTTTTTGTTTGTCTGTCTCTCTGTTGTTGTTTTTGTTTGTTTGTCTACCTGACTGTTTTTGTTGTTAGTTTGTCTATCTATATATTACCAATATAAGAAAATGGTTATTTTAAGAAGATAGTTTAATTTATTTTACTGACCTGACCGATACAACACAGAGATTTGCAAGACACACCAGAAGAAGGAGAACTGCGATCTTCATTTTAATCAGCTCAGTATAACTTAAATAAAATCATGTTATGTAAGGATTAGGTTAGATATATTTGATTCCACCAATTGTGTAAGGAAAGGGCGACTGATATGTGGGCAACATCTGGCTCTTCTCATCTTAACAACCAGGCATTATGCTTGGATTTCTAATGGGCAATGGTCGATAAGACTACTGAGCCATCATTAGAATTGCATGATAGGTAAATAGATGTACATAAGAAACGTATTAATTGTTTTATTATATTGCATTTTTGTAACCCTTTCAAATGAAAGATAAAAACAAAAATGATATAGTATTTTACTGTAACGCAACAGGTTGACAATCTGAACGAAATTACATACGCATCAGCCCAAATATGAGCACAGACCAACAGACACAAAATTAAAATGCATAATACATTTTTTATAACCAGCTTTAAATATATATATATATATATATATATATATATATATATATATATATATATATATATATATATATATATATCCCCTTGATGATGTTCCAAGCGTGTAACATATTATTTGTGCTGATTTACTCTCATCATACTGACACTGATTTTGAGTTATATAAATGTCTTTAATTTGGTCTTATTTTAATGCTAATTACTGTATGTCGCGAAAACGCTACATCAGGCACGTATGGACCAAACAGTAATTTAATGATTTTAGTCCGGGTCAGTTTCTCTAAATATCCAGCACAAACAATAAAATATCACAAACTAAACATACGAAATCCTTGAAAACTATAGTTTAATAGCTCAGGCATAGCGTTACATAAATCTGCTGCACCTGCTCACTGACTAACTCTTATGAATTGTTATTTTGAAGCTTTGTTGTCGTGGTTCTACTACACTACAGTAACACAACACTTTCTAACACAAAGGACTTTCTTAAATGTGTAGAGACTTAGTTGTCCCCGGTTAAGTCATTTTCGTTAAGTCCTATTCAAGGTCAACTAATAAAGACGCATATTTCTCATTTGACTTATATTTTCTATACACACAAAACATGAGAGCAAATACTGTCCTAAATGCTAGTGTTCAGTCGTTGTATATTCTTCCATGCTCAATGCAGCTGCTGTGGGTACTCACTGCTATTGTTACCCTGTGTTTCCGATTTCGGTTCTTCGTGCTACGGCTGTTGTGCTCGAATGATTCTCCTATTAATTACCAATGACAGTGCTGTTCAATAACACTGCTGTCGGTACTAAATGCCGGTATAATGCCACTAATGTACGTATTCAATAGCACTGCAAAAAATTATTTTTGTCAGTGTTCAACCTTAATGTATTTATTATGAGGTGTAGATCTATGCTCAGTAATAGTGTTGTCAAGGTCACTGTGAAGACCTTTTTTTGTTTTGTATCCAGGATAGTGGTCCACCACCTCAATTCCTGTATTCCATATTTTTTATGTTCTCTCATTATTTTACAATGCTATTTCAAAGCTAAATTCGTTATATTTACCCAGCAACATGATCACATTACTCCAGCATCGATCTCTCTCCATTTGCCAATGTCAATGAAACAGGTGAACTCTACTTTACCTATCACATGGACCGTACTGTTCTAAAGTGCACTTTTATATATAGCCGAAGACTATATTGTAAATTCTTTAATTTTTTATAATCATACTTTAATAAATGACAGCTTGGCGATGCATCGTATTTCGTTATACTTGCTTTGCACCCAAGTACCATTTTATGTCTTATTGGCGGATGTCGCAAAAACGCGACAAACCGTAATCAGCAGATAACTTCCAAAATTATTATCATCTGATTTATACTGTTTATATACATAAAGGAGTGAATAATAAAGCTATTAGCATTTTTGGAGCAAAAACAAAATCACCTATTTAGTAATAATAATCACGTAAGTAGGCTGAATTCACGAAGTCAAAAAATTACGATGGGCGTGAGTACCGTTGGTACCGATACAACCGTCTGGATGTACCCAATACACAACCACCGGCATTAGTAGGATAAATACACCTATGCGCATATGCTACACGCTAAATCGGTATGTCACGATAACGCGTTAAGGGATATCTATCAATCTATCTAACTATATATATATATATATATATATATATATATATATATATATATATATATATATATATATATATATATATATATATATATAAAATAAAAAGGAGACATGCATTATTTTCCTGTTACTTCCCCGCTCTCTAGGCATATAGCTACATTCCCCACATCCCCACCAGTCTGGTAGGCTGAAGCTAACACTAAATGTTGTCAATCCTAGTGCCGGCTATTTGGTGTAGATAATTTATTTTTTAAACGATTTGAAATTAATGAGAGGTAATAACAAGTTCTGATTGATCTTTTCAGTGTCGTCTTTAAACTGTCGTCACGGACTTTAAAGAGGGGAGGGGAAAGGAGTAGAAAGTGAGGGTGAGTATTATCGTCATTTACGAGCTACTGATAGTTTTTTAAAGCAATATATTTTCAGTCGCAGCATTGGTAGTGTCAAATTCACAAATTATGAATTACTGAAAAAAAAGAATAAATTAAAACAACTGAATAGCTCGTATTTAAAAATTCACTACTATTTACATACCAGTAAAAAAGCATGAGTCAATTCTTAAAGTTTAGTAAAGAAATTTAAGGTGTTCAATAAACAGTGACTTACGCTATATTTTTATGAGTTTTTAAATTGTGGTGTATTATTACGTATTAAGAGAAAAAAATAAGTTTCTTTAATTAGTGCATTATTAATTTAAAAACTTAAATAGGGTTTCACTGATGATAGAGAGGTAAATAGCACCATATATATATATATATATATATATATATATATATATATATATATATATATATATATATATATATATATATATATATATATATATATATATATATATATATATATATATTTATTTATTTATTTATTCATTTATTTATTTATTTATTTATACATATATATGAAATATTAATCAATTCATAAAAAAATTAAGTGGACATCCAATTAAGTCCAATGTGATGTCATATTGCATTGTCCTCGGGTCTTGACATACATACCAATTTGAAATGAATTGGTCAGATGCAATTAATAGAAATTTAGCTTTGGAATTTCCATCCATAGACATAAAAAAGACGGCTAAATAAAAGCTTGTAATGACAAGTTAATCTTGAATTGAGATGCATATATTTGTAGCTAACATAACCTAAACAAACTTTACCTAACCCAACCTTATGAGACCTAATTTAATTTGATATTATCAGATCCAAACCGTAACTAAAACGTCTATGCTAATCTATCAAACATAATCTATATAAAGACTCCACCAGTCAGGTAATACACAAGGGAAAATTAACAAAACACTTCACAATTAAGACTGGAGTGAAACGGGTATGTATGATATAGCCAATTATATTATTGATTGTAATCAACTGGATCATGCTGAAAACAACAAAAAACTACACAAGAATCCATTGGGGTTTCTCTAAAAGTCTGGAAGATCTCTATTTCGCCGATGACATCTGCCTACTTTCTCACAAGCATCCGCATGCACAAGCCAAACTGAATCGGCTATCTGAAGAAGCGTCCAAATTTGGACTAAAAATCAATAAAAATAAAGCAGGTCATCAGAATCAATAACATCCAGGACTTGCCCATACAGCTAAATGGGGAAGTTATGCGATAAACAAACACATTCGCGAATCTGGGAAGCGTGACCAACAAGGACAGGGGAGCAGATGATGACATAAAATGACGCAATAACAAGGCTAGATGTGCCTTCAACTCACTGCGCCCGATCTGGAGGTGCACGGCTCCGTCACTCCGGAGCAAAATTGGGATTTCAACACAAATGTCAAGGCAGTATTGCTCTATGGCTCGGAGACTTTTAGGGTTACAAATGCAAATACCGATAGGCTAGAGTCGTTCACAAATAAATGCTTACGACATATACTTAAAATATCAAACAAAAACCTGTGTCAAATTTCAAAACAACAGCCAATAGATAAGGATATAAAGGACCGTAAATGGGGATGGATATGACACACACTAAGTAGAGAAAAAGATAATATTGCAAATGCTATTGACTGGAATTCAAAAGGAAAAAGGAAAGTGAGCAGGCCAAAGAAAACATGGAAACGAACGGTAGAGGAAGAGTCTAAGACATCTGGGCTCACGTGAGCACAGATAAAGGGAGCAGCCCAAAACCGAGTTCACTTGAAATGTGTGGTTGCAGCAATTTGCTCTGCAGGCGCCACAAACGAAAGATGATGATGATCCGGGAATATTACCACTCTTCAGGTATACAAAACGTATCTGCTTGTTATTCTAGGCAAGACAAATTTCTGCAATAATATAACAAACAAATCTTACTACTAAAAGAATAATAAGGCATAAAATAAAGTTAACTAAAGTTAGTAACCCTGCGTGCTACTGCTATCTTTTTTTTTTGGGGTTTACTTAAACTACTAGAAATCAAAATTTAATTACAATATTTGTAAACCACATGCAACCTTCTTTTAAATATATAAATAACATGTTTTGAGTACATTTTAATATTTGATTATCAAAATATTACTTATGTAAATCGACATAAAACACTATCCTATCTAAGAAATCCTAAAACATTAACAATTCAAAAAGTATGTTTTATAATATTCAAAAGTATTCGTGTAAACATTTATCTAATACAAAAACAATTGGATAAAAATGTTCAAACAGAAGCTAAACACACTTACCCGACTGTTGAAGATGCCAATTAAATTATTTGGGCTTGAAAACTTTAATAGTAAGGTAAAACAAAAGAAAAATACGAACAGGCGTGAGATCTGTAGGCCTACAGAACGATTGTGAACTACCAATACAGGAAGAGATTGGAAATACTGCATCGGAAATTAAAAAGACGATTGATCCTCCACTTACCGGTGACTCAGGGGGTATAATAATATTAATTGGGTGGTAAATGGCGCGTTGTAGGAGAAATACAACAGGCGCTAGGTTGACGGTGATGTTTTTTTCTCTATACCAAAA